GCCTCCCCGCCTCTCGCCCGCCTCCCCGCCTCTCGCCCGCCTTCTCACCCGCCTTCCCGCCAGCCTCCCGCCTCCCGGCCAGTCTCCCGCCTCTCGCCCGCCTCCGCCCAACGCCGAGCTCGAGCCGCGAACGCGGTCGGACTCGGCTTCCTCTCCCGCCCTCCTTCCCACAGCACCGAGCGCGAGCCGCCAACGCGGTCACGCTCGGCGTCGCCTTCCACCCTTGCAGCCCCCCTTTGCCCGACGCCGAGCGCGAGCCGCCAACGCGGTCGCGTTCGGCGTCGCCTCCCACCCTCGCACTCTCCATCGCCCAACACCGAACGCGAGCCGCCAATGCGGTCGCACTCGGGTTCGCCTCCCTCCTTCACGCCACCTCCGCCCAGTGTGAGCCGCTAACGCGGTCGCGCCCCTCCCGCTACCTGCCCGTCGCCTACCACCTCTTGCTCAGAGCCAGCACCCTCCCCCACTCCCCCTATGTCTATGGGCGGCATGTCTACACTGCTTACGTAATCACCATTCACTAATAGTACTCGATACAATTTTGTCACTTATATAAAATATGATGAAAAATAATAATTCTTTACTAGAATTTGGAAGATTATCAGTGATATATAATAAATAAATAAAAGTAATTTTATTCAGATGACTACAATATCTATCAAGCATATGATTGCTGTAGAGTTTACATAGGATATATAGTCAGTAGCACTAGTGTGTGAGCTATATAGCACTAAGGTGTGCCCTACATAGCTACTGTAGCCATGACAGTACCCTCTATAGCACCTATAGCACTATGATAGCATTGGCTGGCAGATTTCTAGCATGGGTAGCAAAGGACATCGCTATGGACCTATGGAGGCTATATTGCACTACATAGTGCCATATAGTGATCTAGATTTTTTCAGATGTGGTACTTCCCTGTTTTCTCAGTCTATGGGCTTGACAGGCCTCCTGTCTTTTGGTACATACCTGTGTATCTTCAACAACTTCCATGCCAGCCTGCCTGTCCTCGGTATGTACCAAGCAAGTCTTAACACGGTCCTCAGGACGTTGTCATGGCACACCTCCAGTACTCATCTTTTCCTGTTCTCCTTGCACTCCCCAGATGCTCCTTCTACCCCTTCAGGTTTCCTAGGAGCCCCCAGACGCTCCTTCTACTCTTTTGGGTTTCCTAGGAGCCCCCAGACTTTCCTTCTACCCTTTCAGGTCTCCTAGGGCCTCCACGCGTTACACAGCCTTCCTAGGCCATTCTACTGGTCACGTGCTGGGTGCCCAAGGAGCCTCCTCTTTTCTCATTAGACTATCCCTCATTTTGCTGATGGATTATTCAGCTACTATACAGTCGCCTGTTGCACCAGGGAGCAACTCAGACTTGTTCTCAGTTGCTTCCCTGCCTTGTGCAGCAGGTATGTGTATTTCCTTTGTACCTTTGTATATATACTCAGTTGCTTCCCTGCCTTGTGCTACAGTGTCTCCGCTGCCATCCCAAAGGATCCGCACTGCTCCTAGGAGGTCCAGCGCATACTCTGACAGGTAAGGGCATTCTGTGCTTGACCACTTCAATCAACTTACATGAACCACTAAAGATGATTTTCTGTTTCATGCATGCCATTAATACAATCATTGGGAGGATTGTCTTGTATCCCGTAGTGAAGAAAGTAGCTTCACATAATGCACGGATTGTCTCCTTCTTCAATGGGTCACACTTCTGGGGCAGACAACTCAAACTTCAAGCGGCCAAGTCAGGTGTCAAGCAATCCCTGGAGACAAATACGGAATCCCGATTCTACGCACTCATACTGCAGTTCATGAGCACTAGAGATCACTGGTACACCCTTCTATCATGTGTGCTCCAATAGGTTCTGATTTCTTGTCAGCGAGTGTCTCAAACAGATATGTGTTCAGGATGATGTACAGCATAGTGTGAACAAGCTGTCGCCGGTCAACCGGGATGTCATCCAAATCATGCTTGACTCAGTGCATTGGGCATGGAATGACCAGCTTGTTTGTGTCACCAAGCCACTCATTGATATAATTGGAGACATCGAGGGCCGTGATGCTACATTGGCAGACTGTATGCTTGAGCTTATATGGGCACATCACAAGGTTAATCACCAACTGGTGCTGGAGGATGGTGATGATGCTGGCCTTGCATCACATGTTCACGTTCTCAATGAGGGCTTCCATGCCCTGAACACCAACCTTCAGTGGTTCACCCTTTTTTTCCATCCACTATGCTGGTGCCTTGCCGTATTATCTGCCCAACATTCCCACAAGGTCAAGGTTGCAATACACATAGCTACGGAGATAGCCCACAAGTGAAACTGGACCCTAACACAGATGAAAAAACTCGCACAGGATATCAAAGACTACAGCACAGTGAAGTTTCCATTTTCCGGAGGATTGGTAAATGGAAAGAGTTGGTGGGAGAAGCTGCTTGCAGATGTGGTGCATCACCCGCTCAAAACCATGGTGATACGTATCCTTAGCATTGTTCCACATGCTGCCAACGTCAGAAGACTCTTCTCCAGCCTCAATAGCATCCAGTCTATTTGTTGCTCAAACCTGACAATCCCCCATATGGAAATACTTGGAACTCTTTGCAATCACTACAAAACCGAGATCCACAACATGGCCGTCAAACTGGGCAAAGAAACATGGAGGAAGCATGGTCATATGGACACTTGCAAGGAGCCAAGCATCAACACTGAGCAGGTGCAAGATCTTCTCGACACCTTTGTCTGGACCGGCCCTCTCAGGACAAGTGGAGGCAAAGATCTCAAAGATGCACTCGCCGGTCCAGAAGGTATCACAGACAAGGAACTTGAGTGTGAGTTCCAGCGTCTGATGGACAAGGATTGCACTGACAGTGGCGACAGACTTCCGGCAACTGTTGCAGTAGGTGACATGTATGACCTTGACCAGCTAGACGGGATTCGGGCGGGGCTTGCACCTCTGACCAAGGTTAAAGAAATAATGGCACATACAAGTCCTTTGGGCACAAGAGAGACATTGTTGCCAGCTGAACTTCTGCAGGAGCTGGGGCTTTCATTCTCATATACTCATGTAGCTGGTAATACACAGTCTATGCTGGATATGTAATGGAAGTTGTATGCTTGTGCAAATGTCTTTGAGGAGGCCATGAGACTTTGTGCCAGCACACCAGGGTTTTGCCACCCCCTCGAAATGAGTGTGATATAGCACCGGTGCTGGTGAAACTCCAAAGGAGTTTTGCCCCTGACACTAGTTTTGCTGTCTTGCCAAGCTCCTACCTTGCATGCTATTTCTACTAGGCTGTACAATTCAATGGTACCTAACTATGTGCTGTAATAGTATTACATTTGTGTTCCGCAAGTCTGATATTCTGTCACGTGTCGATCCAGACCAATCTACGCCGATCTGCTCTGCCAATCTTCACCGATCTGCACCAATCTTCTCTGACCCGTCTCCGACTCTTTGTCAGCTTCATCGCTGATGCCAATCCCGCCTTTCCCGTTTCGGCCAAGGGCGGGATACGTCTATCACATGCACCGGGCCACCGGCAGCTCAACACCCCAGTGGTTCCAGATCTCTGAATGGATTCAACTCCGACTTTCCTGTTTCCTGTTCCCTTTGTCTGACATCATAGTTTCCCTTTGTAGACTTTAGTTTCCCGTCGCTTGCGACAGATCTTTTGGACCGTCCTTTCCATCTCTTCTCTAGATATGTTTCCTTTGTGTTCCATGTGTTATTGCACATCTCCGTATGTTTCCTTTGTGCGCCAAACAGCACCTCCGAACTCTGCATCTCCGACTTGGCCATTGTTCCACTTTATGTATTTAAACCGTCGAACTGTACCGTAGATAGTCAGTTCGAATATCGACTAAGCTTCTCTCTCTCTCTCCTGCAGACTCAGAGCGTGTAGCAGCCTAGCGCACAAGCTTAGGCTTGGTCTGCATCCGTACTCGACTTCACCGACTCTTCCGACTTACTGACCCAATGCCGACGCGTCTCCGACGCATCTCTGACTCCCCCCGACTTTATCTCTGAGTTCCTTCTTTCATTTTGCTTTATTCTTCGTATCTACCTTTTGGACTTTGGTCCTCTGGCCCTGTTCTCCTTCTGTATCCGATCTTGACATATTCCCGTACCCATCATGTACCATATATGTTGCCCGCTGATTCCCAAATGCCACATGTTTACCTGGTTCACAATATAAAATCTGCCTGAGACTGAGCAAGCCAAAATGCAGCTTGACCTTCCCCCACTATGATCTATACTGTCACCGTCCCTATGTTCAACAACAAGCCTAGGTGTGGAACTTTGTATACCATATATATATGGAAATTTCACACGCTCGTTACCTATTGTGTACAGATTCTCTCACCTGTTCTATTCTTGTGTTATTCCTTGTGATTTTCTATCTTTCCTGATTGATATTACCGCTTTAGACACATTCTTTTGTTCCCTTTATGGAAATGCTTCCCTCGAGCTCCCTCACATATACCAGGAGCTCTCCCTCCACATCTTCTCAGTCTTTTCCCTTATACTTTGACTGAGGAATGAGTCTGCCATGTCCCTTCATGTCCCTTATGTCCTAATGTACCTATGATGTCTCTGTAGTCATATATTAGGTACTACATGTGTAACTCAGTCTTTTCCCTTATACTTTGACTGATAATCATATATTAGGGAATTATCACTCTTACCTTCAGATCCAGAAGCTAATTGTCAGAGTACGCGCTGGAGCTCCTAGGAGCGGTGCGGATCCCCCAGGACGGCGGTGGAGACGCTGTTGCACAAGGCAGGGAAGCAACTGAGAATGTATACAAGGATACGAGATGAATACACATACCTGTTGCACAAGGCAGGGAAGCAACTGAGAGAACAAGTCTGAGTTGCTCCCTGGTGCGACAGGCGACTATATAGTAGCTGAGTAATCCATCAGCAAC